TGTGTACCAACCTTGGGACGATGTGCCAGGTGAAAGGGAATGCACATTCTTTCGCTAAGCATCCAAATTCCCATCGGACGAGCAAACGCCATAATGCCACCGCTGCTCGCGATTCAAAGACGGGCGCCCGACAGCCTCCCGCTTCCATCATACCCAACCCGACCTCTCAGCCCTACGCCGCCGCAACCGTCAGTGCGCCTTGCCGAGATCAGCCTCGTTGGATCACAGCCACCTCCGCGCCGTTCACCGTCGATGCGACCGACTCTGCTCACAACACCCTCACTCTTCGCCCTATCTCACCCAACGGCGCGTGCCTATCTATACCCCGCGAATCTGGATATGATCACTTCAACATCTAACCCTTGCACATTCCCACCTTATCAGACACAGACAAAGACACAGACCGCGTCATCGCGCATCCAACCCACTACCTCATCACGAACCAAGAGCGTCCGCCTGCGCCCTACCAGATAACCCACCCCCCATCACAATACAACAACTCCACAGACAACGCTTCACATGTCGACAGTACAGACGACGGCCTCTCCACGCGCTCCCCGGGACAAGCCGCAGAGCCCAGCTCAGGCAGCGCACACCAACGCTGGCCGGCAGTCGCAACGCAAACCACGAGGCAATCGCGCGCACAATGGCTACAACCAGATCCAACACAATGCGGCAGGAGCGTCCCCGAGTAAGATACCTGCTGAGCTCGCCCACGCGGAAGGCGCGTCCCACTCAGGTGAGGACGCGCACATGCCCTCTGGACCGCGCAACATGAGGAAGCCCAACCAGTCCCATCCCTCCATCGACCGCGTCTTCTCTCCTCCTGAATCAGAGCCTGTTCCGATCAATCCGTCTGCTACCCCGGCTAAGATCCAGGCCGCCTATGCCGGCCCGACCTTCCATGCTTCTCCGGCTCCTTCTGCTCTGCCTATACCCAAGTTTCTTTCTCGTTCTGTGCCGGCCAAGACACGTGCTGGTCCACCAACACCTCCGCCCGAAGATAGTTCTGATTCTGCTTCTCCAAGTCCTTCTGCTTCTCCTTCCCGCGCCCCGGTGGCCGTTCCTCCTCGTAATGAACAATCTCCATTGGACCTGCTTTTCAAGGCGGATGCAGCTGAGAGAGCCAAGGGCAACCATGGACGCCCAGCCTCCCACGGACCTTTCAACCCAATGGACACTTCCAGGCCACAGCACTTGAAGCATGATTCGTCACACTCCATGAATGGCGTCTTTCCCATAGAGCTTGACGGGGAAAGCAAGCACGCACACATGTCTCCCCCACCAGCAGCCTCGCCCGCCTCGCATCGCTCCGTTACAGATCCCACCAAGATTCCACAGCTCAAGGATATGCAACAGCAGGGCAACGGCAATGATGTTATGAACGACCTACTGAACCGTCTCTCAATGTCACAAAAGAAGCCCTCTGCAACACCGCCTCGACAGGATGCGCAGGGCCCACAAGGATTCATGATAGGCCACACACCATCGCCTTTCCATGACGGCCGACCTCCCCAAAACCCCTCTGGACCCACCACACCGCAGGCACCACCGCCGAACCAAGACTCTGAATTTTTTTATGGCAACCGTAATCTTTCTCCCTTGTTCAAAGCTGCAAAGGGCGATTCTGCAAAGAAACGCAACTCTGGTCTTCGTACCGAGATCTCGGCTGAGTCTCCCATGGTCGGACCGGGCAACTTCCAGAGCTTTCCTTCTGTTCCTCCCACTCAGATGATGGACCCCAACGCCTTTTCCCGAGATCAGCCAGGCAACGGTAACTCAGGCTTTGCCAACGGGCCCCGTCCATCAGCACCCCATGTACAGCCCTACCAACAAAGTCCAAACAACCGTAGGAAGACGCCTGGCCGGCAGCCACACCAGCCACAACAGCCTCGCCCCGACACTCACCAGAAACGAGGCAACATGGGTGGAACTGGAAATGCGGCGGCTAATGCTCCTCCAGCATCTGCTCCAAAGGCCCCCACCAGCATGATGTCCTTTGTACCTTCATCAGTCGCTGCTAAACAACGCAAGACCTCAGCCCCCGCTGCTACTGCTGGTGCCTCACCCATGAAAACCGCCACCCCTTCCAATACGTTGTCTCTGGAGCAGGATCTCAAACGCTTGCTCAATCTCAGCCCGGCTGGCGAGTCCAGCGTCAGGTAGTCGTTGTTTCTACGAGACCTGCCATGTTTGGGCATGGTTTGGGCTCACTACATTCGCTTGTTCATACGGATTCTCTATTTGTTCCATGTTTATGGTTCACGATTGTATTGTCATTTCATCTGGAGTTTATGGCGTTATCAATGGCTGGTGGCCATCCTTTTTGTGGAAGTAGTGAGCATTGACGGGCATGTCGTCTCAGGTTCTTTGGTCCAGCGCAAGCGTTTCTTTTGTCACTGTTCATGATTGGATGCATGGACATGGGATTTGAAGAGCTGGAAATCAGGCGTTTTCTTGCACCATGTTTCATGTTCTGGTGCATAGGCACTTTAGGGAATGTCTCGACTGGCTATGAGAAGTGAGCTTCCTCCGACAATTCTCTGCTGTCCATGATCTGGATCCAGGCACGACTCAACTCGACTATCACTACATCACCACAAACCACAAGTAAAAATCAAGAAAAAAATATAAGGGCATGATGCTCGGCTTCGGTGTCTCCCTCGGGAGGCACGAAGTTTTCATGTCCAAACAAGGTTTCCGTTCGGCACGACTTCGTGATGGTGAGCTGCTTCCCTATATTGTTTCTTCGTTTGACTTTGATTTCCACGTCATCTGTTCTGTCTGCAAGAGAAGTATATGACCCAGACAAGAGCATGGGGTGGCATACTAACTGTTGGGCGAGCGAGGGTCCTCCCTGCCTTCGACTCATCACGGGAGTGAACTCTCACTTTCACCATCCCATGTCACTAGCGGCACGTGCCAGTGCTGCTTGGCACTTGTCGCGATCTACCCTGAGTGAGCACCTCCAGTGGGCGCAGGTTCATTTTCCAGTTGTCTTCTCGCGCCTGTTTACGCACCACCAATTACACCCCCGCTCGATCGCTTTGATTCTTCTTTGCAGGCAATCACGCGACCTTTGCAACACTCGCCCGACCTTACGTACTAACACAAAATCGAATTGTCGCAACTGTCAACTGCCGCAACTGGTCAGGATGAAGAGTCTTCGGAGCAAAGGTAGGCTCTTATTCTCTCCCATAGGCAGCGTTGAGCCCGGGATGGATTCACGATCGCTCCACAACCGCAAAAGCTCTAGCGTTAACATATAGATAGCGTCGCACTTCTTCAGAGATAGCCCAAGTCGTGATGAGAAGACCGCTATCGCCGACAGTTCGGACATCGACTTTGACGCCGGGATTCAGGACGTGGATATGCGGAAAAAGCGTAAGTCACTGCTTCGCATGTAGGTGGAGACACACTAAAAACATGTGCAGCATCGCGGTTCTTTGGACGCAAGAACGACAAGCTAAACAAGCCACTGCCTACTCTGCCTTCCAATCCCAACCCGTCCACGCCACTTTCCCCAGTCGCTACGCGTGTCACCCTAGGACAGCAAGGCGATAGCTTCGAAAACCTACCCGACTACGAGGATTTGGAAGAGGAAGAGTATCAAACAAGCTCACCGGCACTTCCGCCAGCTTCGCGCAGCCTCTTCGCCACTCCAGAGCACAAACACGCTCGCGGTGGAGAGCCGGTTAGATCAAAGTCACGCCCCAACTTCGCATTACTTAGAGAAAAAGGCATGTTTTCCGCTATTCATGCAAATTTCAACTCAATGTTGACTCTTGTTCTAGGCTCTCGTCTCTTCGGCGGCGGCAAGAACAACGACTCCACGCAGTCACCAACGCCGCCGCCCGTTCCACAGATACCTACTAACGTCCCTCTCTCCAAAGCACGCCGTCCTGTCCTCACATCACTGTCAACAGCACGCACATCGCGCGCGTCTCTCGTCAAGGCTCAAAACCGCAGCGTCTCCATCTCCCGTCCTCAGCTCATGGCCCAACTCTGCAGTCCACCCATCCCAGAAGACCACGTCACGGTCCCCTTCGAAAAGCGTCCCGGACCACCACCTCCGCGCCCTCCCCGTCCTGATAGTCTCGATGAGGAGACTCTAGCCTTCATGCGCGAAAGCGGTACACGTATGGTCCTTCCCTCCAGCAACCGCGGCAGCACCAGTACAGCGACAGCCTCGACACCCCGCAGCCAAGCTAGTTCCATCGAAGCACGTCTCGGGTTCCCCTCTGGCCACGGCACTCCTCGTACTTGCTCCATTGAGTCTCCTCTCGCAGCGCGCTTCACTCCAGATCCCAATCACGCCCTTCCTGTCCGTGACAGCAGTGGCGATCTGGTATTAAGTCGCTTCAGCGAGTACGTTCGGTACCAGCAACAGCGTAGCCATGCGGTCGATGGTGTTGATGCTGAGGATAGGGAGGTTGGTCCTATTGAGCTGTGGGATCCTAGTAAAGAGGGTGATTGGACGCTGGAGAAGCGTATTAGTCAGTGTAGGGATGGGAGGCCTGGTGGTATGCTGTTTCGCGATAGGTGGGGTGGATTCCACTTTGTTGCTGATATCTAGGTTCTGCGTGGTTGTCAGTGGGATGCATGTCGTTGTTTCGATATGAAAAGTTTGTAACTTTTGCTTTGCGCTGAGGGAAAGACGGGTAGTTGTGTTGCATCTTGGATGCATACATTGGCTAGTTATTAGGCAGGTAATATTGATGCACAGCACCCGTGGACTGATCCCTCACTTGGAACCATGCATTCGCGACTCTGAAATTGAGCTTCCAGCACGTGGCGCACCTTCCGTTATCGTCTCTCACCATGAAGTTCGTCCCCACACGTCACTTCCGTACGCGTTAGTGGCTCCGATACTTAAATCTTTATCGCGACCTACTCTCTCTCTTCTCCCAACGTCAATTTGACCTCACTTACAATCCTCGTCTTCCACCTACCTTCATTCTCAACAACTTCAACAACTCAATCTTCCACGTACGGTCACCATGTCAGCTCGACCATTCCGCTTCCTCGATCTCCCTGCTGAGCTGCGCTGCATGGTCTACGAAGCCATCGACGTAGCGACAAGGAAAGAAAAGTGGGAACCCACGACAAGATACGACCCCCCCAACGTCCATATCAAACAAGATGACAGTAAGTTCCGGCCGTACAAAGCGCACGTGAGACTTTTACTGACTACGTATCTCTCCTTTGCAGGCTCTTCGCAAGGCAATGGTAAACTCGTCATGTACCGACGTGTTCTGTCAATGTCAATCCGGGGAACTTGCCGCCTGGTCAATCAAGAAGCTACACCCATCATTGCTCAGAAACTCCAGAAAATAGTGAAGGAGCCAGTACGTTTTCGCATGGACTGGACAACTACCAATTGGATTCAGCATGACTTTGGTGACTGCGTCGCCATTTCCCTTGAAGAAGCATCCGCTTATACCCGGTCATCCGACCCGAAATCGCAATTCTTCTTCACTTGCAGCTCGTACCTTAGGGAAATCGTTCGTTTGCGCCCAGTCGACACTGCATCTGCTGATGTCGAAGTCACCATTGCGATATCCCAACTGGATTATCGCGGTATGGGGTGGAATCGGGATGGCATCTCTGATTTTGTTAAGCGTCTCTGCCACGGCTTCGCTATTGATCCTAACCCGAGTCGGCTTGACGAAGGTTATAGCGCCAGTATTCGCATCGATGCTATAATCAGCCCACAACTAGAGAAAGGTTTCCGCTTAGACAACTGGAGGATCGTCGCCGGAAAACCATCGAATCACTGGAATTACGTGGTTCACGATCTGTCTAGAGACGATTGGGAACAGCACGTGCAGATGTTGAAAGAACTGTGATTCGGTGCGTACAAGGGTCAAGAATCGAGGGAGATGATAGGAAAGCTCGTCATGGATGCAGGCCTGATACATTTGTACGGAGGAGACATCAAGTAGGGAACACGATGCGAGAAAACAAAAGCAAGCATAGGAAAGATTCAAAAGTCGAATTAAGAAAGCAGAGGTCATTTCAAAAGTCAGCACAAAAGTAATATGAAATATGATTTGGAATTGCACAGACAACCCAATACTGAAGGCAATGCCTTACTCTGACCAAAGAACACATCGTCATCCGTCGCTCTGTGCAGTGCTTGTTTACTTATGAAATTAATCTGCACTGTCAACCGTGAATTCGGACTGATCATCGTAGCTTCTGACGAGGGTATTACATAACATGTCTCTCATGCTCATCGCCCATCTATAGTGAATCTCCAAGACATCCACACTCAGTTCGTCAAGCTCACATCACGGACCAAGATATCCTCATCCTTCTGATACGGAATACCCGCCTTCTCCCTCGCCATATCGTTGATCCATCGGCCGTCAGGTGCGACATGCTCCCCCTTGGATAACTCATCGGCCAGATACAGCCAAGCCAGCGCATTGCCCACGGTGCTGACCTCATCACTAACATGCTTACTCGCATACTCCGACATAGTCGAGTGAAGTTCCGAATCAGTGAAGAGATCATACAAGTGCTTGGCAACAGCGTCGTGATCACCAGGCTTAACCAGGAAACCAGACTTTCCATCCTGAACCTGCAGAGGGATACCACCAGCGAGAGTAGCGATGATAGGCGTGCCCTTGTGGAGCGCTTCGCTGACCTTGACTTCGAAGCCTTCGCGTGTGGAGAGCTGGAGGGCGACATGAGCGCAGGACATGAGTGCGTTGAGCATCTGGTCGGATGGTCCGATACGCATGATGATGACGTCGTCCTTGAACTCGTTGAACTCCCCGTTGAGAGCAGTCTCGGTTTCCTTGAAGATCCGAGTAGCATCTGGATCGTCGACGGCACCATGGCCAGCTATGACGAGCTGGGGGATGTCTACAAGGGGCGTGTCTTTCATGTACACCTTGCGCAAGAGTGCGTATGATGCGAGTACGTCTGGGATACCCTTCGCTGGGTCGAAGCGAGCGATTTGGACGATGTATTTGCGATCCGGATGAGCGAGCTGACGCATACCAGCTGAAAAGCACTGGACCTTGAGCTCGTGGATGTAATACTGCTCGTCCCAGGGGTGCATGTGCTTGTTCAGGCCATCTAGCCAGTCGGTAGTGGCAGGCAGGTAGCCCACTTTCTCTGGGGTTACAACCTCGGGCACAAATGCTCGCACGGGATGGCTGACGAAGACATCACAATCTTTGACGTGGTTCCAGATCCAGTTCCATACCTCGGAGGTAGCGGTACCTTCTTCGTCAGCTAGGTCAGCTCGGACCTGGATATGACTGCGGAAAATGACTGGGCGACTAGACGATAAAGTTAGTATAAAAGGCATCTTGGATGACTTAGTGAGCAATTCGGGAGTACATACCTGGAGTCTCGCTCCTTCGCAATCTTGACAAGGCTCGGCATCTGAGGATCATCGACAATGATCACATCGGCACCACCCTTCTCGCGAGATGAGAGCGGGCCGCCGTGCTCGACCCAACGACACTTGTCAGCCTCTTCGACAACCCAGTCATCAAGATCGGCCATCTTCTTCTTGGTCAAACGCTCGCCCGCTGTGGCGACACCCTGAAGAATATTATGGTTGTCTTTGGTGATCCTGAAGATGTCGGTCTTTCCGTATGGAACGTACCATTTGCAGTCGACCCCGAGAAGAGCCAGATATCTCATCAGAGCGTGCCTCATGAGAGCGACCCCTCCGCCTTGTGCTGTGCTGTTGAAGAAGGCAATCTTGGTCCTTCTCTTCTTGAGTGAGTTGGCGTAATGCATCGTTGCAGCTCCTGTAGTGTCCATCCTGACAGTAGAATCGTAGCTTTCGCGCTCGGCGATGTGCACGTGGTTGTCGAGATCAACCAAAACCTGACGACGATGACCCATCTGAACGGGTAACTCACCCTTGACGTTGAATTGCTTCACTGTCTTTCTCGCCATGTGTTCGGCTTCTTGATCTAGGGGTATCGATGGCTCTTCCTTGTCTTTAGCGTCGGCCGGAAAGATGAATGGTATGATGTCTAGTTCAGTCCATAGGCGTACGGCCAGGTGTGGACTCAAAGTAGCCAGTTGCGTGGTCAGAGTAGCACCCATGGGCTTGGAAAGATTCTCCTCGCGGTAGTCGTTGAGAAATCCGATGAAGGCTTTTGATAGAGCTTCGGAAACATCACCTACAGACATGGGTGTGGAGACTCCTGATCCAACTCGCGATGATTCGTTCGATGAGTTGCCCTCGCCTGCATCTCCGGATAGCCCCAGAGATTTGCTCTCACAGTTAATGGTATAGGTTCCATCATGCAAAGCAATGCAGTAGCGAAAGTCGCCATCGTCAGACTGAGCGACAGCAAGGCCTGCGTAAAGGGGCTGCCATGTCCACATGTTAATCAAAAGGTTTGCAATTGAAGAATGGTAGTACTGACCTCGACAGCAGCCTCAAGAGTACCCTTCTGTTCCTTGAGTTTGTAGAGTGAATCCGAGGACTTGAACGCCCTGATGCTGATCTGACGTCGCTCGGCAGTCGCTAGACGTCGGTAAGTGGGCCGCTGCTCGGCAATCTCATCACCCTGTAGCGACATGATGAACACTAATGTCGGGGGGCGTCTGAACAGAACGGTAGAGGATAGTTGAGGTAGTGATTAGTTAATTGATAGCAAATGGCAATCAATAGTAATGTATGAGGAGGAGGAATGTCGATTTGTATTGGAAAGAAGCAGGCAGGCAGCTTATATGGCGAGCATGGGGGCTTCACAATGCAGTAGGCGGTGATTGCCACAGCCATTGAAGCATTCATGGCGATTGCGTGCATGCTAAGCGCATCATGAACATTACACCGGGTATAAGTGGCGATTGATGGCGGCCAGTGAGTGACAGGCGCGCATTGAAGGAACGCATGGCGTTGGCTGTTGGAAGCGGTGACTAGGAAGGCGGAAGATCACAAGGCGTGTTAGGCGTGGCAGCCAGCAGGCAAAGGCAAATACACGGGAGAATGGCGTGATACGACGATAGTCCTGGTTGCGGGACGAGATCTGGTGAGGTGAGCATTCCGCACGAGATGGCTTACGCGACAGCGCTAGGGACTTCCCACGCGTCGTAACTACGAATGGAAGGGCTAGCAGCTACGGTTTCGTCGGGTAGCCATGACACAATGGCCACAACGACGAGGAGGACCGTGATGCTGGATCTGCCGTGTTGTTCTCGATGCAGTGGATGAGTGCGTCGTTTGACATGAACGAGTTTTCTGTGGCTGTCTGGGGCGAATCAGACATGGTACCACCGGCAGCGCGGGGGTGGTCGAGTGGCCCCGTGCCATGGGTATAATTCAGCCGCCAAACGCGTCGTGTAGTCGTGTAACCATCGTGATTATATGTGAAACCAGCGCTGCTCGTAAGCCAGAAATGGGGGACGACGTTGTTCAGTGTGAACAAGTGGTGCTGCGGGCAGAAGGAGGAATGCAACATTGAAGACGAAAACTAGTCTCGGGCTCTAACAAGTTGCATGACTCTGGAAGCCACAGAAACACCGAACGATGTATGCAGAGTCGATCTTCCGAGGACACTTGCAATGAAATAGATGCACAACTGGCTAGAACACATCGTGATGCTCATGCCACGATCACTAGCCCGTATGCGCATGCAACACTTTTTCCGTGTAGTTCAATTACTCAAGCGCAGCCGCTAGGTGGACTAGGCCTGATAGTCCCGCTATCGCTGAACAAAGAAGAAAGCATCGTGGGGGTGGCAAGTCATTGTGTGGACAAGGCCGCCTGAGTGTACGAATGTGAGTGCTGATGTAAGGTGGGAAAGAAAAGCGATCGCGGCCGAAAGAGGACAAACACGTGCGATATGCAGCTTGGCTCAATGCAGTGTAGCGCGGCGGGAACGGCAGCACTAGCGCGAGCAAGCACAAGGGTCCGGCTGGATGGGGTGGAGCGGAGCGAGCGACGCGGATGGGAGAAGGGATGCTGTCGAGAGTCTTGGGCGGAGACATGCAAGTTTGGGGGTGGAAAAGAGAGTATCGTGGATGCACATGCCGATGTCGACGTCCTGGGAACAGAGAGTCGTAGCGGAACTGGTGCCATGTCGGCGCAAGCGCTCCAGATGGCCATGTTTCCCGCCTGCCGGATTTGAAACGCCTCTTCCTCCGTGCAAGCCAAGCAAAAGCACCAACCACGGCGACCCACCCATCTTGCGCTCAAACCTCAGCGATCTCACAGCCACGACACCATCTCACCCGTTTGCATCCCTATCTGCCCCCATCCACCGTTTATCCATCCGACACCCGTCGCGCCCACCAGAGGGCCGGCCCCGTAGACGTGTACCAGCCCAGATAGCTCGTGCCAGCTGTGCGCCCACAGCCTTGCGACCGCCAGGCTCCCACCCGACGTCGTCGCATACCGCGCCCTGTTGCTCGCGTCTCAATAGCGCACAACGCGAAGCAGACGGCCAGCCCATCTTCGCACCCTCTCCCGGACGCGCGATCCCGCCGCCAGCATGAACCACTACCCTCCCCGGGCGGTCATGCCTCCCCAGACGGGCCCAGCCCAGCGCCTCAACGAGCTGCTCGACAACATCAAGACCGAGTTCGAAGCCGAGTCCCAGCGCAGTGTCGATGCCGAAGGCCAAAGTGAGTTTTGCACATGCTATCCAGCCGCGAAGGGAAGCAGTTGCCGTGCGGTATCCAAGGACCGGGCGAGCAAACTTTCTGCGCATGGCCTCGACTGTCTTTTGTCGCATCGGGCTCACAGCTGCTAACTAGTTTTCGCAGTCACGCGTCACATCCAAGAGATTGAGTTGATCCGCGGCAAGGTCTACTCGCTCGAGCAGTCACACAACCAGATGAAAGCAAAGTAAGCACCTCGCGCAAG